CATAGAAGCCATTCTGCCCCATAAAAAAAAATTAATCTTTCCTAAAGACCATAATAGAAGTAAAGAACTCCTTCAGCATTCATAGAGTGTAAGGGCTTACTGGTCAACGACTGGTTCTGTCCCAGTGTCTCATAGAATTCCGAGCTAGTCAGTCTTGAAAGAAACCCGAGTTAGAGAATTGTATCCAAACCCTTACTCCTTGGCAGTATTTACGAGCTAGATGTAGCACATGGGAGAGCTTGCGTCATACTCATCTACATATGAATGGTTCTTTATCATATACTATACATTTGCCAGAGCGTTGTAAAACCTTAATTAAACATATCGTATCCTGTAAGTGTTGTCTCCCGTCTTTGCCAATGGGAGTTCAGCATTTGTGGTGTGATGAAGCAGAGGCCTGGGTGACTATTTTGTGTTTGTATTGGAAGTGTCAGGAAATAAATGTGGCCCAGAATTAAAGAGTTGGTGAAAGTACATTGTTTAGTTTCTCAGACCACTTCCTTGAAGCAATAAGAATCTCTGAAGCATATACTCTAGCAAGGTTGTTTGAACTGAGAGAAGTCATCCTCATGTTATCTGAGCCTTTCTGCAATAAATCTAATACATTTTGCACCAGATGTAGATGGGAAAGGCTTTTCTGCTCTTCCTGCCCTTTACTCCCTGCTACACCAACACAAATTAAAAGCCCTACTGTTGTTTGCTCATTGGTGATGTCTGTTGGGTGTTATACTGAGCTCTCTTATGGCTACTACAAGAAGAGAGACTTGGAAAGCAGCCAGTCCTCACTAAAGAGGCTCCTTCCTTATGACAGAATCTAATGCAATCCTGGAAGATGGCCCCTTCATTAAGTACTGGCTGCTATCCAAGTTCCTCTTCTGCATTTGTGTAGGAGAGCCCCAGTAATTCTCCAGACCAGCATCAATAAGCAAACATAAATTAAATAGGAAGTTGGGGGAGGAAGGCAGTAGGGAAAAAGTCTTCTTTTTGTTTAATTTCTGTATCTGAACTACTGGGTGGCTTTTTGCTGCAACTTTGGAGTTCGTTTTCCTAGGCTTGGTCCAAACTACACCAAATCAAGTAACTTTTGGGACATGTTGCACTGTCCTTCTCCTAGACTTCTGGAGCAGTAGAAGTGCAATAAGGACAAGGCACTGCTGTGTTACAGTTTATTGGGGCACTATCAGATAAAAAATCAGATTGGTAGTTATTTTTCAGGGAATGGGATGGTACGGAATTATGATTAAATGTAACGTATTTTAAAATCATATCTAGGGAACTTAGTCATATAGTACAGGAGCGCTTTATTTTGGGTGCCTTCACTTAACAGAGGAAAGGAATGTGTGTCTCATGCTAATACAATATAGTTTATTATCCCCTTCTAGTGGCTAGACCCAAGTTTGTGTGAGTGCCTCTTCATTCCAGCTAATGGACCTGGTTGTTTAGCTCAGGCAACAGAAACTTGTGCTTTTAGATGTAGCAATAACCCTAGAAGGGCAAGCCGGGTATGATTGGGTTACATGTGGCTCGAACTCTTAATGTAATAATTCTTTGCAGCTTTGCAAATTGTCGCTTATGGTGATTGTTATGGACACCTGAGGGTGAAAGTAATTAGGTATATAAAGTTCCTCCCCCTTGATAAGTTTATATATTTTTCTCTTTTTAGGTTTGGAAGGCATTTTGAGTCCCCTCTTCTGTGGCAAAGCATTATCATGATCATTACCATGTTACTGATGCTGAAACTATGCACTGAAGTACGTGTGTCAAATGAACTGAACATAAAACGTCGCTCCTTTTCAGGTTGGTAGTAGCAATTGGTCCTTGAGAGCGAAGTCTTCCTCTATTAATTTATAAAAATATCTTTTTTTGTCATTGGGTTGGGTGAAAAATTTTGTGTACATGGCGCAAACCATTGTGTCTTGAAGAGCCAACCCAGAATTTTCTGAAAGGCCTGGTTTTAAAATATTTTTTTCCATTTGACTATTTTAAAATGGGTCTCAGTTCAGTCTACAAAACGACAGGTCTTTAATATTTTATGTCAAATCTTAGGAACATATGAACAAGTAGTAAAAGTTTTGCTACTGTGCCAGCCCTGCTGTTCAGATCTAGGCCTGAATGAAAAGAAACATTTTCACTGGACTTTTTGCCAAGTCTCTGCATTAGAGAAGCACTTATCAATGGCCAGTGTCAGAAGCCGTATGTTGCTATTGCCAACACTGTGTCATGCTTGCATATCCAGTATTTTATTTCTTGTCATGATGTAGGCTGTTTAAAAGGGAGAGTGATGGTGTGTCACTGTTACAGGTTTATCTAAATGTATGTCATACAGCACTTTTGATAGTCTGTGGTACTTTTTTTTTTTTTTTAATGTGGAAATTTCCCATATGGGCCAGAATATCATTTGTTGTTAATCTAAGGTAGGGATACTTGGACTCAGGGACGGCCCGTGGATGTAGGCAACCTCAGCGGTTGCCTAGAGCACCATGTTTAACGTGGTGCCCAGTGATGACGTCACGCCATTGAGGGCTATGGAGAGAGGGGCTCCGATTGCTCCCATATGGGCCAGAATATCATTTGTTGTTAATCTAAGGTAGGGATACTTGGACTCAGGGACGGCCCGTGGATGTAGGCAACCTCAGCGGTTGCCTAGAGCACCATGTTTAACGTGGTGCCCAGTGATGACGTCACGCCATTGAGGGCTATGGAGAGAGGGGCTCCGATTGCGCATTCTGCCTAAGGCGCCAGTTGCTGGCCACTCCTGCTTGGACTTCAGTGGTTCAGGAGCTAAATTAGTGATCAGCAGTACCCAAAAGAGCCACTGTAGTGTCAACACGCGCGCGTGCGCACACACGCGCACACACACTCTATCATCATCACAGCAAAATGACTGACAAATACTCTACAGTAGGTAATAACTTAGTAAAAGCATCCTGGTTAGTTGATAACCTAGGCTGATTAATAATTAAATCACACAGTATTTTAATATCTGGTGCCACAAGAGACAGTAAAGAGTGACTGGTGGCTCCTGAGCCTTATTTTGAGTATCGCTGATCTAAGGCAGGGGTGGGCAAAAAGGCCTCCGTGGGCCAGATCCGGCCTGCCAAGTGGGTGGATCCGGCCCGCGGAGGCCTTGCTGCTCCCCTGCCCCCAGGCCAAATAGGTCCTGGGGGCAAGGGAGCGCGTGGAGCTTTGAAGTGCCGCGTGCTGCTCGCAGGATGGGGGTAGCAGAGGAAGCTTCATGCACTCCCCTGCCCTCGGGCCAATCAGGACCTGGGGACAGGGGAGCTGCGTGAAGCTTCCTTTGCCCTGCCCTGGCCCTGCGGGGAGGATGTTTCCCGTGCTCCCCTGCCCCCAGGCCATGATTGGCTTGGGGATGGGGGAGCGTGCCAAGCCTCTTCCAGGGCATGGGTGTCTAGTGGGAAGGGGGGGAAAAGGGGCTCCCACACCCCCAGACCAATCATGGTCTGGAGGTGGGGGAGCCCTGCCCTTTCCCGTTTAGGCCCTGCCCCTTCCGGGGTGGCCCTGGGCTACTTCAAAAATTTTTGAAGTGGCCCCTAGGCAAAAATTATTACCCATTCCTGATCTAAGGGTTTGGCCACACAGTGGGGTACTGTGCTCTATGGGGTATAATTTCTAAAGCACGCTAATCTGCTGTGCATGAATTAGTTTTATGGGCTGTGCTCATGCACTTTAGTATAATAGTTTTTAAATGGTACTACAGGTTGAACCTCTCTGATCTGGCAACATCTGTGGTCCAGCATGCTTTTAGTTAGCCAGATGTTCACTTATCATGGGAGTGGCCAAGTTTCCCACAGTCCCATACAGTTTGTTTACAGCCACCAGTCCTGGCTCTGAGTTCTGTGCTGTTATTTATCTCTAATTTATCCCTAAATGTCTTTTAAGAAAGCAGTGGAAGTGTTGGTAATGACAACACAATATTGACCTCCTGTGGTCTGGCATCTGGTTTGGCACCGATCAGGTCCCAAGGGTGCTGGACTAGAGAGGCTCAATTTGTACAGTAAAGTGCACCAGGGAACCTTCAGTGCACAATAGCCGGGGCTGAGAGGGCCAATTAGTGTGAAGCATAGCACAGAAATAATATCCCTGTAGAGTGAGTTATCCCCCCTACCTCTTAGACAAGCTCAAAATGATTTACTTTGTGGCAGCTCTTTCACAGTTTGAAAATAAAACTTCTGGTTTTGTTTGTACTTTCCCCATTTTATGTTTCTCCTGTTGCTGTTGGACTATAAAACTGCTGGCTTCTTTTCAGCTGTCTTGCCAATATGAAGATATAATTTGCTCTCTTTGTTTGTTTTCTTCCCTCTCTTACCCTAAAAACTGTGGGTTGATCTAGCTCCAAATAGCCTCTGTGGAAAGACTGCAGCTGTGCCTAGCCTACACTGATCTATCGGAAAAAGGTATGTAAATTGTGCTCCACAATTTGCGTACGTTTTTCCAATAGTTTTTTTTTTTTGGAAGAGACACTTCCGAAATTTGGCCTGTCTACACTGGGCCAAATTTCGGGAAAAAAACCTCTTTTGGAAGACGGGGCTTCTGAAAGAGTGCATCTGCTCTTCCGTAAAAATAAAAAGTGGAAGAGCACACGCGTTCCCTGGACAGGGTGGAGATTTTTTGATACCTCCGATATCCTGAAAAAACTCTATAGTAGAGGTACCCTAATAGTGGGAGCCCTAGGGCTATGGGTGCTGGCTCTGCAGGGGAGTGTTCTATTTAACAGAACAATAGGCTTGTTCTGCAAACCTCTTCCCACTCCCACTTAATGGTGTCTGTGGAGTGTGAAGTGGACCAGGTAATGACATCATGAAGAATGTTAGCTTATCTGCAGGCTGCAGCACTGTGACCTGTACATTTTTTTTCTTCTTCTCTATCTGGGGCTGCATTGTCTGCGAGGACTCTTGCCATAAGCTGGGGCAGTGGTCCCCAACCTTTAGAGGCTCTCGGGCGCCTGGGGGGTGGGGCCACTCACGCGCCGGGCACCCGGGGGCGGGGCTGCGCATCCGGGGGCACGCCCGGGGACGAGGATGCCCTTGCACCCGGTGCCGCCGCCGGTATGTGCCCCAGGGCCGGGGCTGGGGCCGCCTGAGCGCCTTGTGCCGTGGTCCTGGGGCCGGCGTCACGTGGGGGGGGGGCCGGCCCAGGTTGTCGGCGGGCGTGCACAAATGCCCCGGCGGGCGCCATGGTGCCCGCGGGCACCGTGTTGGGGATCACTGAGCTGGGGAAATGAATGACTTTAGATCTGATCTCATATTTAGCAGAGATTTAAAACTGGATGTTTTGGGAGGGGAGTAGCCAGCGCTTCCTCCCTCCAATACCTGTTGGTTGGGAGCAGAGCAGGGGGCTTCCTCTTCTTATTGCCCTTTGTGGGGCTAGGAGATCAGTCTTCAAGCCAGATCATGTTCTTTCCCTCCCCTTTCTCTGACAGGCTTTCTCAGTACATATCGGGGGGTGTGTGTGTGTGTGTGTGTGTGTGTGTGTGTGTGTGTGTGTGTGTGTGTGTGTGTGTGTGTCTATATCTTTATTGCCCTTTGTGGGGCTAGGAGATCAGTCTTCAAGCCAGATCATGTTCTTTCCCTCCCCTTTCTCTGACAGGCTTTCTCAGTACATATCGGGGGGTGTGTGTGTGTGTGTGTGTGTGTGTGTGTGTGTGTGTGTGTGTGTGTGTGTGTGTCCATATCTACTTCGGCTTCCCTCCTTTTTTGAAAATGACACAGACTGGCATTCAGTCACTTAGTGAAATAATTGGGTTCTTCACCAGCCTGTGAGGTAACTTGCAGAGCATATTCAATGTGTCCTGCCCTGTCATTTCCCAAGATCCACTTCTCCCTATATTTAATTCACTAAAGAGGACAATTTTGTCTGCTGTTTTGGGCCTTCACTCTTTTCTTTGCAGCAAGAGGCTCACAGTACTTTATGCAAAGGTTTGTTATTAGAACTGCACTATGCAACTAAATGTCTCTCCCCTGATTTTTGTAGATGCAATTAACTTCTAAGTGATGGAGAGGTTAAACCTGTGATATTAACATATATAGATGTACAATCGAAAAGTATTAATGCTGAGGATCTTGAGGTTCACCGTTGGATGTAATGTACTGGTTTGAAATTAATCTTTGCTCTGTTTACCATTCTGGGCGTACATACTTCCGCCAAAAGAGGAAACATGGCTTTGTGGGCAAAGCACAGAAACTGGGTATCAGCTGATCTGTGATCTGAAATTTGACCCTCCCATGATTGTCCCATCAGATCCAGGGCAAGCTGCTCAATTTGTCTAGTTTTTTCCCATAGCTCACAGATGATAGAAAACTACATTTCAGTTTGATGCTTTCGAGTAGCAGTTGAGATCCCTGGATGGAAGGTGTTACATTATGGATTGCTTTGTCATAATAATAATAATAATTAATATCAACCTCACTATGTTTTTGTATTTAAATTCCATCCTCTTTCCTAATACCTCTACAAAATAATTTGGATTAAAAGATGAGACTATCTTGGTTCTGTCTCCACTCTAGTGGATGCCTTATATTCCATTCTAATAATACTGGTGGCACATTTAACCAACGAGTCTTGAGTTATCCAGGAGTAGTGTGTGTGTTTTTTTTCTTTTTCTTTTCTTTCCTAATCATCAAAAATAACCCCTGCTGAATTAGTTCAGCATGAAGCCATTTTTTTTACTATGAATATTTAGAGAAGGAAGCCATTTTTTTTAAAGCTTCCAAAACAATAACAGTGTCTCCTAATCTAGAGGACAAGTTTTGAGAGCTCAAGCAAGTTTTGCTAGGTCCTCTGGCTTGAAGTACATTTTAATGTTTTAGTTAACTATGTATCTACAAATCATTTAATGTACAGACTGCACTTTCATTTATGTGGGAATCTGTTGCAACGTTAAAAGTTCACTCCCCTAGAACTCACTTGACTGTCTCCTCTGAGCGTTTCTGTTCTTGTGGATATTAGGGAGACTTCTTTTCTCCATTTAAAAAAAATCCATGAAGAAACTATCCCTCCCACCCCTTACCTTCTAGGAAATATTTGTTTTCTCATACAAAGCAATAAAAGGGCAATGCAAGTGGCAGAACTCATTTTGTGCTTGCGTTCTCTTTTGATTATTGGAAGGGTCTTTCCTTTTTGTTCGGGTACATACATTTTATTATCCTTTATTACATGCATTAACCAAGAGGAGATTTACATCCCCATGCATGCATGTAACATAGCCCAAAACAAATAAAGACTTGCTAAAAATCTAGGCTTCAAGAAACTATTTTAGAATTAGCCTATTACTAAGGATTTCTTTTATCTCAAATGGAACAACATGTGCATACTGTGCTGTGAAAGTTACTGTTAGGGAGACGCAGAGACTAGGTAATGCCCTCAAGTCCTCCATTTTTGTCTCTTTCTTAATTCTATTTTGAATGCATTCTAAATCTTAATTTGTGGGTATCCTTACACCACTTTTAGTGGTAACAATAGCCCTTTTTTCTGCTGAATGTAAATTGGTGTTTGCAGCAGTTTGTGATGTATTGTACTGAAGGAGACAGCTCTACAGCTCAGAGCTGGATTTTTTTTTTTAAAGCTCTGTCCTTGAACAAACCAGCTTAGCAGTTTGTCCTGCAGTGCAACTATGCTGGAAGACAAAGATATTGAATCGTGATTGTTGATTTTGGGTACCTCAGTTCTGAGACAACCAGTTGGGATTGTTAAAAAGGGCCCAATGGTCAGTCAGTTTTAACTGCCTCTGACTTTGGGTGCCCATCATGAGCCATTTTAACAGGAACACAGTTTGTGGAGGTTGATTGCTTAGATGATATCAGCCATTTAAAAAAAAATCTTGGCAGGATAGAAGGGCCATCCTAGATACAGCTAGACCTATGTAATGCTGAGATTAGTTTCCTTTGCCCCACACTCTCAAAACTTGATTATACCCCCCAAGAGCCTTTGTCCTGATGTGTGGGTAAGTGCAAACACCCCCAAAATATTCTAACAGTGTGGAGTTTGTCCTGGGGATGGTGTAGTTTGTGGGTATGATGCCTTGAGTCTTTTGCCTAACCCGAAAGCCATAGTTGCTATGTAGTTATTTGTATCCTTGTGGTGCTTAGGGGCCAAGTAGCATGGGGGCTCCATTATTGTTTCAGTTTATTTCTTACTGTCATTTAATTTTGGACCCCATCTTCCCTCACACTGCTGATATCTTAACTTCTGTGTACAACTTATCCCTTACTGTAACACTGGGATAACAAAGAGAGTTTTAATAGTCTTTTATAGCATATGGTTTTCAAATGGAATTCAGGCTTACAGAGGAAGGCTAGAGTAAAATTAAGTAGTTCAGCATGTGGTATATGTGAAGCGGTAATTTGCGCTCTCTGTTAAAGTGAGTGGCTAAATGGTTGAAACTATTGGAAGAGATGTAGAAAAGGGGTCCCTACAAAATTTGAGGCAACCCTGTCACGTTTTTATTTTTTTACTTGTCCCTACAAAATTCTTCCTGAAAGTCTCCTCCATCTTCACATTTAACTTAGACACAGGAATAAAAATAAGCAATTTAAGTTTTCTCTTTCGCTGAAAAGTTCATGAATATTTTTGTACATTGCTTTAAAGAGGGTTACATGTTACACTGTCTCTGTTATTCTCTCCTCCCCTTTATTATTTGCTTTTTAAATTGTTGGTATTTCTCTCACTGAGGTTATTCAGTAATTTCCTTCCCTTTTCTCCTTCTTAAAAATCTTGGGGTAAACTCGATAGACAGCATGGAAACTAAAACTTCTGGCATGTGGTTTTTTTTTTTTTAATTAGCAAGATGTACTAACCAACCAAACTAAAACAAAACAAACTAAAAAACCATCTATTGTATTGACTCAAATTAGTCTGTTTTGTCTTTTCTTCCTCTCTCTCCTCAATTTATTTTTCTTATGTAGCTGCAGATAGTAAAGATGAAGAATTCAAAGCACCTCCCAAGAGATCCTATCTGGGTATGTACTATACAAACCCACGCTGCATGAGGTTGCCATCTGAAACATAATTCATGCTTCACTGTATTTTGTTTTGTGTGTTTGTGGTTTCTTTCTTTTTTTTTTTTTAATCATTTTAGGAATGATTGCATGATGGCCATTTCTACACAGTATGTATATGCTATCTTTTCTCCAGATACTAACATCTAACTGTTTTGCTATTTAAGCTTTTATAGAGGAAAAGATGCTTTCAGTTCTGTTCCAGAAACCATTTTTCTCCTAGAGGTAATTGAGTTGCCAATTCCTCCCCTCATTCTTCTCAATTGTAATTTGCTCTTTTTCCTGCCCCATTAGAGAAGCAAAATGGTATTATATAATAGAACTTATTAATCAACATGACTGACATGGGGCTCTTGTCCTCACCTCACCGAAATAAAAACTTTTCTTCTTTCTGTCCCTGACCCATTCCCCCCAGAAAGGTGAGACTGCGTGAACCAAGCTATAAAAAGTATGGTTAGCAGCTTTAAGCCAAGGAAAATACTAGATGCTCATTTTGCAATTCAGCATATAAGAATCTCCCTGTAACATCTCAAGTTCAGCAAAACCAAAATGGCTTGCAACAAAATTTTATTTTATGATTCTTTCCTGGCCTCATTTTGAACAAAGCATCCTCTGTCTTGCTATTGGAGGGGAAGGGGGGGATTTATAACCCCCCCACACTTTGAAGACTCCTTCTCCTCACTGTCTGGAATGGTGCTTTTGGAATCCATTCTAAACTTTTGAATGTTCTTTAGCTAACCAGAGGGATTGAGAAATAGGATGGGCATCCAGCCTCTGTCATTTCCTGCTTTTAGTAGCCTGAAGAGCCAGAGACCATGACTGTGTCTTAGCAAGGTTTCTTTACTTTAAGGAGTTTAGATACCACTTTATAGAAGGCTTCAGATATCTCTAAACATAGACGTTGCACCAATGTAATGTAAGTTTGTTACATCTATTTAGCTTGGTGCACTCTTCCCATGTTGAAACTTCTTTTGGAACAAGACGGTCCTATTCAATTTTGGTTAAGTTGGTTAGAAATCAGTTTAAAAGGAAGTCAATGTAGTGCAGTGTTTCTCACGGTGGCCCTGCTTACAGACTGCTCCGGCTTGTTTATCTAAAGGCTCTGTGGCCTGTTCCTGTGGCTCCCTTTGGCTGCAAATGGTGAACCTGAGCCAATGTGAGCCGTGAGACTCCGTCGCTACTGAGCCATTGGATAAACAAACCAGAACAGCCCATTAGCAGCTTTCTCAAAGTGGGCTGCGGGGCACTCTTGTTCCAAAATAAGAGGACCTACATTGGGTTTTGAATCCGTATTACTGAATCTGTTTTGTAAATGTAATCAAATTGATGTTCAGCTTGTATGTAGACATCTCCTGATAGAGACAGAAACATTTCTGTATGGAGATGCAATGCAGAGCTCTTCCTTAGGCCCTCAAATCAGTCTTGCGTATCAGTTGATCTTTAATGAAGCATGTACTCAAGAAATGCAGTTGTCCTCTTCTGGATTTTCTGGTTGGGGAAAAAAAATTGATAATATTGCAAAATTGTATTTTGGTTTAATGCCAGTAACTTGCAAAGCACCTTTTCCTGTTCCTCTATCAAAAAAACACTTTTCTGGGCTTTGCATCAAATATTTGTTTTGCCGATTTTTTGTCTCGTATCATTAGTTTGCAGTCATTCTTACTGGCTTGTTGCATCAAAATAGACTTACCTATAGAAAGTAAACTTAAATCTCACACCATTTTTAACATGTTTACATTCTTGTTTTCTTCAGTGATGCTTTATTATTTATGGTATCTTAGCTAGAAACTGCAATTTGTATACAGTACATATTGAAGGATAGCTTATTCTGAGTCCTTGAGGGAACTATATGAAAATAGAAACAATTAGTTGCTACATTTTACTAATGTCTCTTAATGGATTACAAGTTTCAAAATATCTTAATTAAACAAAGGGACCTGAATATGTCTGTGAAAACCTGCTGAAACTTAAGAGTTGGGTCCCTTGGTATTTATGATGAGCAAGTTCTGATATGAACTTCATCTTGCTTAGGAAAGCAGGACAGATCAAAAGAAATAGGGATACTGCATTTTGATGAGATAGGAAAAGCACCTTCTTTCAGGAGTGCCAAAACAAATAATGGCTGGGTTTTGTGTACCTATTCTTTTTAAACTGATATTTTTAATTAGTATAGTTCTGTTTTAAATAGTTCTGAGGCACAGATGTGTGTGTTTACATATATACAAATATCGTATTAGACTCAGAAGGTTTGCCTGGGAGACTTTATTGGGCTATAATGGCACTAGTCCTATGTTGCTTTACAATTACACAAGTTTTGTTTAATTTTGTTTAATTTTGTCCTGCTTATGTCTATATAGCAGTGCTTTGTTTGTCCAGGGCCATGGGAATTTCATTGAAAATTAATTCCAGGAGGTTGTGTATTCCTTTACCTCTCTTACGCCATGTCTGCACTACACAGATCGATACTGCTGTGGTTGATCTTCCAGGGTTCAATTTTAGCAGGTCTAGTGAAGACTAACTAATTCGAACTGAGAGGGTGCCCCCATTGGTGCCGGTACTCCTGTTCTTCATGAGGAGTAAGGGAAGCCGATGGGAGCGTTTGCTCTCATTGACCTCCCGCTGTGTGGATGATCTGTCAACTCTACCTACATAATTAATATAACTAGAGTTGCATATCTTAAGTTGACCTTCACCTTTAGTGTAGACCTACATGAATTTGGCAGAGCATTTTTTTTTCCACCAAAAGTTATTACAACTAGCCTTCCTGCCTCTCACTTCGTTTCATTTCCCAAAAAACTCCTTGCTGTTTCTAGCTTTGGGAAGTCATTATATCCCTTTTGCAAAAGCATGGTAAGCATGTGTCTTGTAGTCACTTTAACTTAAGTTCAATTAGCTCTGGAAACTGTTTAATTGTGGGACGATCAGAGTGTTAAACTGGAAAATATTGCCCACTATGTTGCACCAGGAAATTGGTAGATAAATGCTGATCCTGAAGCTGTCCTTGGTCATCACCTTTCAATCAGAAACTGAGCCCTTCCTGTGCCCACTGGTATGTCTTTCAGCCATATGTATTGTCAGTATTCCAGCAAACCACTTAATGCTGCTGTTCCTCCACACATGAACTGTAAAAGTTTTTATCTGACACTTGACTCTGAAAGCTGACTGCTTAGATACTGTTATTCGAAGGGTAAGATCCTCTGTTTGTGTAAAACTGTCATAGCTCCATTGACATCAGTTATGACAATTTACACCAGCTTTGGATATGCAGCAGCTTCCTGTTTTCACACAGAAGCAAAATTATTCCCAGTTGTTGTTCCAGGAAAAGGAAGCTCTGTGTAGCAACAGTTCTGAAGAAACTTTATGTAAAACAAATAAACCAATGCCCTTAATTTACACAATGCCTGTTGGTGTATCTGAAGATGAGAATGAGACCTATATTAAAGCCTTGGTTTTCTTAATGGACAAGCAGAACTGAGATCCTACTTTTTCTTCAGCTAACTGGTTCATCACCTGCTGAGATCCTTTAGAATAAATGTGGATGTTTTGAACGTTTCTGTATTGAGATGCAAATTCTTGCCTACATTTTGAGCCTTTCAAATGAGATTTGGAGGTGTTGGGAGACACAGGATATTAGATCTTTGAAGATATTTTTATAGCTCTGTGATAGTATCGGTAGTGAAGGGGATAACTCCCAGTGCATATGCAAATGTTTAAATATTTACAGCTAATCAAGTTTGAAGGACACTGCTTAAAGAAATCACAAGGGTTTCCTTTCTTGTTTATAAAGTTTTATTTTAAATCTTGAAAGGGAGTTATTTTGGTGTCTATCATGCTACACTCAGCAGTGTGAGAATACTGTATGTGCTTGAACTGTGCTTGCTTTCGGTCCACAGGACAAGAGAGTCTAAAAGGTATAGGTGTTTAAAAAATACCAAATGCAGATTAGTTACACATTAGTACATTAATATGGAAAACATGTTTTAAAGTTGTATATGTGAGGCTGGAATATGTCTGTGTAAACAAATTCATTTGAGGAGGTTCTTGTGTTTTTTAAATAAAAGATGGATTAACTAGTTGTCCCATGGGTACGAAGTGTGAACTAGGGATGTTAAAGACTAGTCGACTATCTGATAATGCTTATTGGATAGTCAGTCGACTAGTCAATCCCCCCCCCCCCCCCCCCGCCCGCCCCCTCCCACGAGGAGAGGGGATACTTGAAAGTAGGAGCACTGCGCCACTGATCCTGGGCTCAGCTGTGCAGCGCTGAGGCATTTCAAAGGGGCATCGCTGCACAGCTGAGCCCAGGATCAGCAGTGTGGTGCTGTGCACGTGGAGCCTGGGGTCAGCTGGGGACCACCCCAGCTGATCCTGGGTTCTGCGAAAATGCTGTGCTGGAGCCCAGGGTCAGCAGGGAGTCCCCAGCTGACCCCAGCTCCACGTGGAATTTCAAACTGGCAGTGCAGCATGGAGCCCGGGATCAACAGGGGACTCTGAGGGTACGTCTAGACTACAGGCTTTTGTCGACAGAAGTTTTGTTGACAGATACTGTCGACAAAGCTTCTGTCGACAAAGAGCGTCTACACTAGATTCAGTTCTGTCAACAAATCAAGCTGCTTTGTCGACATGGTAGTGTAGACGCAAAGGACAGTTTACATGCAATAACACCTTCTGTCGACAGAACTCTGTTGACAGAAGGCGTTATGCCTAGTAAAATGAGGTTTACCAGCGACGACAAAACTGCTGAGTTCTGTCGACATTATGTCGACAGAACTCCGCGGTAGTGTAGACGCAGGTATAGTTTTGTCAACAAAAGTGGACTTTTGTCGACAAAACCCTGTAGTCTAGACACACCCTGAGTGCCCTGCTGATCCCAAGATCCATGCTGGGGGCTCTTGTGCATTTCAGAGCTGGCACCTGGGTGCAGCCCAGAGTCAGCGGGACTTCCCGCTGGCCCTGGGCTG